CAGCCCGCCCCCAACTTGCAGACTTCCGGCCAGCTGCCCGCCGCCGCCCCGCCCCCCGAGGGCTAAGGACGCCGGGGTCCGCCAATCACTGCACGCGTGTGGTCGGAGTGGGTGGGGCCTGAGAGATTCGAAAGGAGCCCCGCCCCCTCGGAGCTGATTCCCGGGACTAAGTGGTGGGAGAAAAGCTCCGTCCGCGGGAGATGCGGAGGGGCGGGAAGTGAGAACTCGCGGTAGGCTGCGGGTGTGCTCCCGCGGGGCGTGGAAAGGTGGCCTGGGGAGAGGCAGAGCCCGCAGGACGGTGGGTGGGAGGAATATGGGCGCGTAGAGCGCCCCCAACGCGGAGAGGCGGGCTCGCAGGGGGCGGGAGGGCCGTCTGCGGAGGGCGATAAGGGTGTAGGGGGAGCTCTCCGCACCGTCCCCGGAGGTAACGGCGGTGACCGGTGCAGGTACTCCTCCTGGGGCGCTTGCTTGACTGCAGCGTGACCCTTGGCTGGCGCTCTGAGTCTAGCCGGGAGCCTTGGGCAGGATGGAGACCCGAGGAAAGGTGTGCTTTGTCTCCACTTCAGGTCCAAGCTGCGTGCTGCTCCTGCGGGCTGGAACATGGGCGATTTGCAGGAAGGTAAGGACATCCGGAAGGGAAGATTGAGACCCTGCAATTGGGAGCACCTTAGGGACCCACAACGGGCATTCATTCCTCCCTCCCCTGCAGATGTAAAGTTTATAGTGGATGAGACCTTGGACTTCGGAGGGCTGTCACCATCGGACAGGTACCAGCCTCTTTCTTTATGCTGCTTACTTTCCTCCAATGATGCTTCTGTCTCTAACACCGCCCCCCCTCCCCCCAACACCACCACCTTACTGCTGAATTTTTGGCCTCTGGGGCCTGGGTTGGTAATTTACCAAGTTGGGATGCACTGGGGCGGCTGGTGGCTGGTTTGCTTGGGCCTCTAAGACACCATACTGGGCAAGGGGAGAAGGGAGAAGCTGGAATGAGGTTGCGGGGTGTTAAGAAGGGTAAGTGGATTGATTCGCTGCATCTTCATCCCCGAGTGATCTCCAATGCAGTAAATGCTAACGGCCTCTTCGGCTTCACGGCAGCAGGTGTCTCAGCACCCAGAGGCCAGCGTGGGTGTTGGGGTTTGGGGTTGTGTCCCTGGCTCTGCTGTGTCGCAGTCTCCTGCTCTCCTCTGTGTGGTCACTGGTTTGTTTTCTGTCTCAGTCGTGAGGAGGAAGACATACCAGTGTTGGCAACTCCAGAGAAACCCCTTCGGCGGGGCCTCTCCCACCGGGGCGACCTCAATGCAGTGGCCCCCACCCCCCAGGGCGTGAGCTTCAGCTTAGGCCTCCTCAGCCCAGCGAAGATGGAGGAGGTCCTCGATGAGGCCAACAGGCTGGCAGCGCAGCTGGAGCAGTGTGCCCTGCAGGAGCGCGAGAGGGCGGGCGAGAGCCCGGGGCCCCGCAGGGCGAAGCCCAGCCCTCGGAGGGAGACCTTTGTGCTGAAGGACAGTCCTGTCCGAGACCTGCTGCCCACTGTGAGCTCTTCCGCTCGGAGCACCCCCTCTCCAAGCAGCCTGACACCCCGACTCCGGGGCAGCGATAGGAAGGGGTCCGTCAGGGCTCTTCGGGCAGCCTCTGGAAAGAAGCCCTCCAGCGTGAAGAGGGTGAGTGTAGCGGCTCTGGGTTGGATGTGTGGCCCCAGACACAGTTCAGGCATAGAGTGGCTCCTTGTTGGGAAAATGGGGATAGTGAAATTCTACCTCACAGAATTGTTGGAATTAACTGAGATACCGTGAGCCATGCACTTTCCACTGTGTCTGTGCAGAACTCTATAACGTCTATAATAAGCTCTCAATAAATGGTGGTGGTGGTGGTGGTGATGAAGTTAGCAGCTAGCTGCTGCCCTTCCTTACTGGGATCTAGGCAACTCTCCACCTCTATCCCTCAGCCAGCAGAACAGATTCTTTTTCCATTTTAGCTCTTTTTTTTTTCCCTCTCTCTCTCTGTGTTTCAGGAGTCGCCCACTTGCAATCTGTTCCCCACATCCAAAAGCCCAGCATCTTCTCCTCTTGCCCGATCAACTCCTCCAGACACTTATCATTTGCCTTCTCAGAGTGAGAGATCCATTCAGGGTCTTCCAGAGGCCTGGGAAAGTTACTCCGACCATCTTAAAGTTCCAAGGTGGGGGAATCTCTGAATGGGAACCCTGAATTTTACTGCCAACCCGGGGGAAAGCTGGGCCCAGTGGGAGAGCAACAGCAAGTGAGAGGACCCAGGGAGCAAAGCTGGGGGTAAATGGGAAGAGGGAGGATGTGGAGCTTACCCTAATATCCCTCTGCCCCAGGCCCGCCAGTCCCCGTCAGACCGGTCTTGGCCCCACAGCCTTCTACCAGCAACTGTCAGCGCCTGTCTCGGCCACAGGGAGCAGCTGCTAAACCTTCCAGTCGACTACCTGTCCCCTCAGCCATCCCCAAGCCTGTCAGCCGAGTGCCACTCAGCAGCCGGAGTGTACCACCCAGCAGAGGTGCCCTCGCTTCAGATTCGGTGTCAACTCGTAAAGGACTTCCAAGACCAGGTGCTGCAGGGCACAGAGGTAAGGAGGAACGGACATCGGACAGGAAGTTAGGAGTAAGAATACCTACCCTCGCCCAGCTCTGCACTCTCCCAGAGCTAGTAACAGTGACCACTTTCTCCATCTTCGTTACAACTCTATTTGAAGATGGTGAGTTTGGAGAGAATGTGGGACTGGACCAAGAGTTTGAGCCTTCGTTTTCAAATACCTTTCAAATGTTTTTACCTTGGGTGAGAGGGAAAGCACTAATCCAAAACTCATCCTGCCTTCATCCAGTGTTGATCTTTGTGAGGCGGTCACTTGACCTTTCTGATAACCCATTTCTTTTGTGGGCCCCCATCAAGTTCCTGTTTCCCAGCGACCAAATCTTCCTGGTGCCACTCGCAGCCATCTGCAGCCCCCCCGGAAAGCTGCAGCCCCAGGACCTACCAGGTAAGGCTGGTTAGGGTGTTCTCTCTCTCCTCTGTCCTCTGGGCTTCTGAGCTGGGGGTGCATCAGCCCTGAATCCTGTGTGGCAAGATGGCGGAGAGGAGGGGAGCCTGGACGTTGGGATGTCCCGTTTCTTCCTGAGAAACTTGAGCTCAGCTGGGTGACATGGGCTCGAGGAAGAAGGGCAATTCAGCACTTCCTCCTTCTGTCTCTTTAGGTAAAGAGATCAGGACAGTAAGCAAGAATTCAGTAACCAACCACGACAGTCCCTGCCTGGACTCGCCTCCTCTCCGGCCTCCCAAGCCCTCGCGTTGGAGGCAGTTCCGGACTCCTGCAGATTCTGGCTCAGGGGCAAGAGGAAGAGATGCCACTACGGCTGGTGCCCAGGGAGATGGGGTGGATTAGGGTGGAGCTGGAGGGGATTCAAACCCTCTGATTAGAATATTAGGGAAAAGAAGTCACCTCCCGGCAGTGAAATGAACAGACAGATGAGAAGTGGGTTGTCCTCATCCACACCCAGTCTGTGTTCATCCCTAGGCCGAGGGCCACTGGGTATGAACATGGGCATGGCCTCTGTCGCTGACCTCCCTGCTCTCCCAGGAGCAGTCCTCCTGAATCACATCCCCTACTGGACTCCGGCCTGTTAGGCGAAGCAGAGGCAGGCACCTGGCCTCCGGAACTTGCTTCCTGTGAATTCTGTAAATCGTAACAGGCCAGTTTATGATAAACCGACTCCTTTGGTCTATACTTTTCTAAAATAAAGTGAGTGTATTTTTATATTCTCTGCATATGTGAAAGCAAATCCTGCTCCAGTTTCTGACACATTTAGAGTGAATGCCTGTGTAATTCCAAAGAGGGAGCCAGGATGGGCTTCCCAGGCAGAGGAGCCTGAATAGGCCCCAGGGCCTCGCGATTCCAGCGAATCAGGCTGTCACTACCCCCTTGTTGGTATTAGCTGGAAACAGGCTGCCTTTTCCCAGGGTTTGAATGTTATTAAAAGGTCCAGGGCAAGTTAAGTAGATCTTAATTCACAGTGTGTGAGGCTGTCAAGTCAAGGTCTCGGTAAAGTATTTACATTTTAAATATATTTTTATTGATTTCAGAGAAGAAGGAAGAGAGAGAGAGAGAAACATCAGTGATGAGAGAGAATATTGATTGGCTGCCTCCTGCACACTTCCCACTGGGGACTGCGCCCACAACCTGGGCATGTGCCCTTGACCAGAATCGAACCAGGGACCCTTCAGTCCACAGGCTACCACTCTATCCACTGAGCCAAACAAGCTAGGGCAAGTATTTATATATTAAACTTGAGTGTCCCTTCAGGGCAGGAGAATGGAGCAGAATCTTGTCTGCTGTACTTACGGGCTGAGGGGTACTTACGAGTCTTCAGCCTCCCTGACTGCCTCAGGCAGAAGATAGCAGGACGCTTCACGTTCCCCCTTTACTTCATTAGGATTGTTGGTCTCCTCTTACCTCTACTGGACTCCAGGGCTGGCACCAGGGTGTATAAGCCCCTGCAGTGCCCAGGGTTGTGATTTGTATGTGGCGGAGAATTTCATTCCTTTACTGAAAAAGATATCTGAGAGCAAGGGGGGCAGTAGTTCAATGAATGACAAAGACTCATTTAGAGCAGATTTAATAGTCTCCCTCTTCTCACAGCCTTTGATTTTGCAACCAGAAGCAACTCAATTCCTTGTGAGTTTTGAGAGAATGCCCCCCTTTTTAAATTTATTTTATTGATTTTCTTACAGAGAGGAAGGGAGAGGGATAGAGTTAGAAACATTGATAGGAGAGAAACATCGATCAGCTGCCTCCTGCACACCTCCTACTGGGGATGTGCCCGCAACCAAGGTACATGCCCTTGACCGGAATTGAACCTGGGACCTTTCAGTCCGCAGGTCGACGTTCTATCCACTGAGGCAAACCAGTTAGGGCAAGAATGCCCCTTCTTGAAGGCCAGGCCATGACTTGAAGCAACAGGCAACTGGGTGCAGGAAGTGGATGCTAGCTGGTGCCCACCTTGCCCAGGCTTATGTGCACATAAGTGCCCAACTGAGGTATTGCAATGCCCTTTCTCTGTTCCCAGGCCAGGGGCCCTCAGCTGCTTTCTTCTCCTTGTTTGTGGCTCATCGCCAGGCTCTTTTCACACATTCACCTCTATCACAGTGACGGCTGTCTAGACCTTCACCTTTCCCTCAGCCTCTTGCAACAACTCTAGGGTTCCCAGAATGGAGCTGGGGGAGGCGGTGTGGAGACACACTGAGCCTTTGACTCCGGAGAAATTTGGTGGAGGCCGGGACACCTCACGTATGCTTCCCAGCTGTGCCCCACACTGGGGTCTGGTGAGCAAGGTCTAGTGCTCACTGCCCGCTCTGACAGAAGCAAGACTAGGCATGCACATAGGTGTGGGTGTGGCCAGCAAATGGCAGGTGTGACCTGGGCATGGGCCAAGCCACGCTGGGTTCTTAGAAGCAAAAGCAGCAGCCAACCCATGTGCTGTTGCCACCTGGTGGCCAGAGAGGACACGGCATGTTCCTCTGGCCCTCTTGGTCAGTCCTGAGTTTTATCCCCACCCCCACCCCACCCGCTCCAAACCTGCTTGAACCTAGTAGGCAGTGCCAACTAGGGCGGAGGCCTGCCTGCCTCACAGTCCTTGGTCAGCTACCTGCTTCCTTCCCTTTGGGCTGGCTTTCTATGTATCTCTATGCATCCACCCCTGCCCCCACCCAGTAGTAACAAGGGAAACCAACGTTTATGGACCTCTTGCTATGCACTGTGAACGGTTCTAAGCACTTCATGTGTGTTAACTCATTTAATTCTCATACAGGCTCAATTAGGCAGATATTATCATCCTCATCTTGCAGGCAGAGAAACTAAGGCTGAGAGATGAAGTCACTCAATCCAGTTCTTGGGTTTGTGTTCCTTTTTTAAAAAAAATTTTATTTATTGATTTGAGAGAGAGAAGGAGAGAAACACTGATCTGTTGCATCCATGCATTCATTAGTTGCTTCTTGTATGTACCTTGACCAGAGATTGAACCTACAACCTTGGCATATCAGGACAACGTTCTAGACAAGGGAGCTACCTCGCCAGGGCCTGGGATTGTGTTCTTAATCACCACCCTTAACTGCCCCCCACCTCGTTTGTTAAACAGACCTTTGAAAAACACAAAACTTGGGGACAGAAGAAATGTTGCGGGGACACAGTTGTCTTGGAGTATGAGCAGCTGCTTCATTTCCATTGGGAAATACACACACAAAGTGGCCCCAGAGAAGTAGCATTAGGAGGTGCCATGTCACTAAGCACCTTGGAATTCCCACCAGCCTCTCAACTCCGCCCTCCCTGTCTCCTGAATTCTGCCCACAGGGTGCAAGCCCTGAGGGTTTGGGCTGGAAACCTGACTGCTCCACCAGCCTCCTCTCCAGCTACACAAGTCCCTTCTGGCGAAAATGATACTTTCCGGCCACATCTTCCTTGGAAATGCAGGGACACGGGCTCTGTGTTGATGAGGCTATTTGGGGAGCATGCCGGGATGTTGGTAGTGAGTCTAGCTCACACCAGCCACTTGTCTGATTCCCTGACCTCCTGGTCCTGCCTGCTGTTATTTTTAAAGGCCAGAAAGATGAGCACCGCACCGAAGCAATAATGACAGTGCTCAACCCGCACAGAACTAGTTTATTCAGTAGTATGGGAAAATGGAAAAAATAAAACAACAAAAACAAGCACAAAACCCTACGGTATTTACAGTAACAAACTGTACAATCTGATGGTTAATGTCAAGTTAGCATCCAGCATCTGTATTTTTTTAAGTCAAGTCATCAGTAGTGAAAACCAGTGACATGTTTAACCCTTTGCAGGAATTACTGAGGGGAGAGGGGAGAAACCGGGGCAGGAAAACCAGAGACCAGCCTTACACATGAGAAACGGGAGCTTTTCACCTGCTCCAGAGGCAAGTCCATGACAAGTCTGGATTACATGCTGAGCAGAAACGGTGACTCACATGAGTAGCAGTTGGCAAAACTGAGGAGGGGGAGGAGGGGCAGGGAGATGACAGCCTGGAGCAAGGGGAAGGGCCTTGGGCCCCATGCCAGGACTGCGGGGCACATACCCAACCTGTAACAGCCACATCAGACCCCCTGGGACCGGATACCAACCCATCCCCACACACACACAAAAAAAGCAAATAAATAAAAAATATATATTAACTCTCTCTTCGCAGGGAGCTGGGGCGGGGGGAGAAGGAGAAAGAGGAACAGGACCTGGTCCTTTGAAGAAGAGAGCCAATTCCCAGAAGGGGTTAAAACTAGAACAAGTCTCAGAGGCCACAGCAGCTGAGTGGGGTCCTCAGCCTGACCTTGGGAGGACCCCAGAACCCAGCCTTTAGGCCGATGCCGGGAGCGACTGAGCCAGCTCTGTATTCACTCTTCTCCCCGTCCCACCCACACGACAGCAAAGAAGCGCAACTGAACATGACTGGCCTTCCCCGCGGGGCGTGCGGGTCTGGCAGGGAAATGAAGCACTTTCGGGTCAGCGAACTGAGCAAACGCCTGGGCTGCAGCGCGTGGCCGAGTCCAGGAAAAGGAGAGGAGCAGGGGTGGCCCGGCCGCCGCCCGGGGCACGGGTTCCCCTCAACATGTGTTCATGCAGCATTTGGGGGTCCGGGGGCGCCGAGTCCTTTGGCTCCCTCTCCAGACGGGCTTCTTCAGTTCCTGGGAGGGGCGGCCCAGGCGGGGCCGGGGCAGCCTGCCGGGCTCGGCGCCCTGGGTGCGTGTGGCTTCGTCCTTTCCTTTTGGTGATGGCAAATGAGGGGCAGGCCCCCCAAGAGTCCCTCTCCTCCCAGAGGCACAGCAGATGGGAAACCGAGGAGAGGCTGGGAGCCTCCTGGAGGTCCTATCCTCTTTGGGGAGGGAATGGGGAGTCAGTTTCCAGCATATAAAAAAAATTAATCCCTGAAGTCATGAGAGTGGAGATCCTTTTTTAAATTTTTTTTTCCTCTTTTCTGAAAAACTTTGTCTTGGAGATGTTGGCCCCAGGGGTCCAAAGTGCAGTGAGGGGCTGGTGGGGGAGGGAGTTGGCACTAGATGGCCTTGGGGGGGGGTGCCCCTCCTGGCAAGGCCCAGGCTCCTCAGATGGACGTTTCATCGCTGCTGCGGGCAGGCGGCGGGGAGCGGGGGCAGGATAAAGCACAAGACAGGAGTGGGGCATGAGTGCCGCTGGGGAAGGCAAGGGAGCCTGGGGTGTGGGAACCACCGGCCCGGGGTTAATGCAGGAAGTTAAAGAAGAGGAATCTGGAGAGGCAGGAAAGGAAGCGACAGAAAAGGCAGACGGAGCGTTAGTCGGAGCAGAGGAGACAGCGAGAAGCTTCCACCAGAAGAAGGAAACAGAAAAGCAGCCCAGCTCCCCACCCTCCCGCTCTGCCCGATGCCCACAGGGCACTGTGGTTTGTGGGCATGTCACCGGGAGGGAGCTGGGCCACACTCCGCCCGTTCGTCCTCTGACTGCCAACCAGAGCCGGCTGGGGAGCTCTGAGCCCAGCCGGGGCCTCTGTACCCCGTCCCGCTCTCCCGGCCACACTCACTCGGAGCCTGACGAGTCCTCGTCCACCGTGCCCGCCTTGATGCTCATGGCGATGGGCATGACCCCGTTCAGCTGCTCCTGGAGACTCTGTCGGGGTGGTGGGCGGGGAGGGGGCCCGCCCCGGCTGCCCTCGCTGGCCGAAGAGCCCCGAGAAGACGCCGTGCCCTGCTCCAGGGGCAGTCGTAGGAGGCTGCTCTTCTCGCTGATGGTGGGCAGACACTTCTTCTTGAGGATGCCTGTGGGCCAGGAGGGCAGGTGCCATGAGGAGCAGGTGGTGAGAGCACGGGGCGGCCCTAGCGAGCCCCACTGGCCGCAGGGCAAGTGTAGAGGGGAGGCTGCCCACTCACCTTTGTGAGGTTGGGCAGAGAGGCCTGGAAGGGGGCCCAGGGACCCCTCCCACGCCAGGGCATCTCCATTCTCCCGAGGACGCTCCTCAGGGGCCCCATGGCCACCGCTCTCCTTCGCTGTGGTCCCAAAGTCCGGCCAGGGGGCCTTCCCAGGCCCCGAGACGCCGTCTGGTGGAGGAAGGAGGTAGATGAGTCCCAGAGAAGGCAGACAGCTGAGAGTCACCGCCCTCGTGTTGCCCCCCAGGAATCCCAGGCCCTCTGCCCGCCCCCTGGCCCCCAAAGGCCACAGCCCTGGCGCCGGCCCACCCTTGGGGGTGCTGTGCAGGGGTAGCCTCTCGGCCCCGGGCCCCAGCAGGCTGTCCCAGGCCGGCTCTCCGGGGAAGGCGGCCGCCGCCTCCTCCTCCTCCTCCTCCTCGCTGTCCGATGAGTGGGTCGAGGCATAGGAGCCGCTCTGGTCATCTTCTAGGGACAGGTCACTGTCGGAGTCTGTGTCAGGGTCTGGGAGGGGGAGAGAGCTCAGAGCCGGCCCACCGGCCTCTGCCCACTCTCAGCGGAACCCAGGCAGCTGCACCCCCGCCCGACTAGCCGTCAGGGCCCCCGTCCTCACCATGCTGCTGGTCTTGACCTTCCAGGAATAGGCTGCTGGGGTCCCCCAGGCCAGGGGGCGCCTGCCCAGGGTTCAGTGTGGACTCCTCCCTAAGAAGACAAGGCCATGCCGGCCAGGTCAGCCTGTGCCTTGCCCAGGGTCCCGTTGTCCTGGGTTTCCAGTTCTGCCCTGTGTCCCTTACTGTTCCGGGCACTGGGCTCACCTCAGCAAGAAGGGGATGTAGCTGGGCTGGCTCTTGCCCGAGCGGCTGGCGCTGTGCAGAGAGCCGACCGAGTCTCCATAGGGCTGGTACAGCCGCCCATCCGCGTACGGGCTGGGGCAGTTGTAGGACTGGATGGGGAACAGAGAGGTCAGTGAGTGCAGGAGCAAGATGGGGGGCGGTCCTAGGCTGGAAGCACAAGAGCTGGGGGAGCCTGCCCCAAGTCCCACACCCACGTCTGAAAGAGAGAGGCCCACATCTCTGCTGCCTCCCATCGCAGGGCCCAGTAGTGCTTGTGGCTTTGCCATCGCTGTGCCAGTCTGTGCACCCCGAGCACCCGGACCCGGGTATATACGGGCTTGTTGGTAAGAGACGGCACTAGGAACTGTCTCCTGAGGGCCTCCTGGGAGACTCGGAGAATTTACCTGGGGCCCCGGGGGTTCTCAGGTGCTGGGCATTCAGGACCTGATTACCTGTCCTGGCCACTTCCTCTCCTGATTCTTCCAAACTCCAGGCCCTGTCTCCCAAGTCAAAGGCCCCCTCCCCTACCCTCAGGGCCCCCTCTTCCCAGGCCACACATACCACTCTACCGCCCCTTCCTCCTTCCAGGAAAGAATGTAGGGATGGAGAGAAAGTGGGACCAAAGCACAGAGAGCAGGCTCCTGGGGCCTCGTGCCTCTCCCCCAACTCCCCAAGAGCCCTCCTCCTCCCTGAGCCCTGGGCCCCTCACCGAGGTCAGGGTAGACTTGGTGGTCAGAGCAGGGTCAGGGCTGGGCTTACGGCTGCAGGCAAACTTGAGTGCTTTCCGGACCTCCTTGCTAAGCACCACGTAGGAGAGGAAGATGAGGGGGCCCTGGCAGGCAGGAGGCAGCAGCTGTGTCCGTGCCCATTGGAGCACCGACAGCCCCGCTCCCCCTCCTGTCTCAGTGGGGCTCCCCCAGGCACAGGCGGCCGGGTACCTGGATGCAATTGCAAGCAGCGAAGAGGTAGTGGAAGAGGAGAGTGTCGCTGTTGACGGAGAGCAGTGCCAGCAGCCACGAGGCACTGAGCAGCAGCAGGACAGCGAAGGAGGGCCTCAGGCCCGAGCTGGGGAGCGGGGCGGACTGTGAGTGGGGCCAGGCCATGCGGCCTCCCAACGCCGCCCATCCACTGCCCGGCACCCACACCCTGTACTCACACGGGGCCCTTCTTCTCAAAGCCCTGCCGGTGGGCAGCACAGGAGGCCCGGGCCGCCAGGATGTACAGGAAGACACTCATCTAGCAGGGGAGGGGGAGGCACGAGGGATCATCAGGGGGCAGACAGCTTCCACCCACGGGGTCAGTTTCCGAGGACCTGAGGGCTCAACTCACACCCAGCCCCACGCCCCCGTTCCAGCACTCACCGAGACAGCGAAGGCCACGGGGCCAGCGAAACTCCAGATGAGGGTGTCGTAGATGGAGAGCCAGCAGAAGTCGGGGTTCCCATAGCCTTCGGGGTCCAGGCCCACAGCTAGACCTGGGAGCACGGGGACAGCAGCAGGGGAAGGGGTGGTCAGCGCTGGGAAGCAGTCGGGCCGTCAAGTGGGCTCACAGGGCCAGGCACAGAAAGTGACGGTGCTGCCCCATCTGTCCATGCCTCCGGCACGGGGCACCCAGCCCCTGCGTGGGGGCTTCAGGGACTGGGTTCAGCCAGAGGGACACATGGAGAACCGGGCCTGGGGCACCGGGATGTGGCGCCTCTGGGCCTGGGATACGGCGGGAGAACGCAGCATGACCGTGGGCCGTGAGGGGTGTGGGACCTCGAGGCCCGGAACGGGTGGGTACCTGTGATGAAGGCGGGCACACCCCAGCCCAGCATGTAGTAGAAGCGCATGGGGCCGGCATTGACGTCGCGCACCTCGGTGAGCGCCCGGTACAGGTGCAAGGCCTCCAGCAGAGCCCAGGAGAAGGTGCAGAGGAACAGGAAGTGCAGCAGGATGGCGATGACTGTGCAAGCGAACTGAGGGCCGGGCCAGGTCAGGCCGGGCACCCCAGGCACCCTCCGAGCGCGGCTTCCGCAGAGGGTGATGGCCTGGGTATCGGGGGTGCTTCAGGGGGAGTCTGGGCCAGAGGAAGGTGTTTCTAGGGTGCTGGGGGAGTAAGGGAGCTAGAGAAGAGGAAACCTGGGCCAGGCCCCGGGCTGGGCTCTTGGACAGTTACTGCTGCAGGGGCAGGTTGAGATGGGTGGGGGGCAGGGAGGACTCATCGGGAGCCTGGGAGCTGAGAACTAGGGGGGTTGGGTGAGGAGGGACATCTTACAGGGAGGTCAGCCTGGTTGATTCCCAGGAGGAAGACCAGCTGAGCCAGGCCCAGGGCGGCAGTCAGGTTCCGGCGGATGCCGTGCTGGTTAGAGCGCAGGGCACGCAGGAGAGTGAGGAAGAGGAAGGTGAGCAGCAGGGCAGCCAAGGTGACCCCTAGGGCCACGTACGTCAGGGTCTTCAGCGGCAGGATCTCCCCGTTCTGCAGGGTGGGGGGCAAGGGGCGGGGGGCATTAGGAAGAGCAGGGCCTGAGCCCCCAGCCCAGTGCCCGGGCTCCCACCCCAGCTCTGCGGGCCCACCTCCCGTCGGGACACATCCATGAGCACGGCGAAGCTTGTCATGTGGTTGCACTGGCAGCTGACGTGGCTCTCGTTGCGGAAGACGACTTCGCAGCCTCGGGCCGACCAGCCGCCTGTGCCACTGACCCTATGGGAGGGAGGCAGGGTCAGGAGCCAGGGGGTTGGGGTGCCCAGGGGCCCCAAGCCTCACGGGGGTCGGGCATTGCAGGCTCACAGGATCGAGTGGTTCCAGAAGACACAGATGGGCTTGGTCCGCTCCTCCGTCTCCAGCAGCCGGAACTGCACGGTGACGGGCTTGTCCAGGGCGCGGGGCAGCAGCTCTTCGTCGTCATGGACGCTGATGCTCACCACGGGCGTGTTGATGACGGGGCGCTTGGGAACCCTGATGCGGGGCAAGCGGGTCCACCATCACCGTGGGGGTCGGTAGTTGTATGACTGGGGCACGCCCCTCACCGCTGAGATGTCCCCCGTAACCTTGGTCCTGCTCTGAGTCTCCCCCTCCCCCACCAGCCTGCACCCCAACCCCCACCCCTCCTACCCTGGCCTCCCCAGCCACTCACCTCAGGCTGCGCTTGTCCGGGTCATAGTTATGGGGCAGCAGCCCGGCCAGGGTGCGGTAG